AGAGAATAATAATTTTTCTCGTAAAAATAAAGATTATGCTAAAAAACTCGGAGAATTGTTTGCTGAGAAATTAAAGAAAGAAGGCAAAGAAAAAATTGTTTTTGACCGCAACGGCCGTCCTTATCATGGAAAGGTGGGAGTATTTTGTCAAATAATGAGGGAACTAGGAATTAACTTTTAATGGAGAAGACCGAAAAAAATTACCAAGCCCCGAAAGTAGAAGAAATCAAATCTGGGGAGGTAAAGTTAGTGAACGAAGAAGAAAAAAGTCAGTCATTTTCCAAAGAGTGAGGAAAGGAAAGAAGGGATGGCAGGAGACCATCGCGTTCGTATCTAAAAAGCGAAACGCTAGCCAACAAAAGGGTGGTGAAAGTAACCAAGGGCGGTCGGAGATTTAGTTTTACTAATTTAGTCTTGATAAAGGATGAAGAAAAAAAAGCGGTTGCTTTTGCCCACGCGGGCGGAAAGGAAGTCATGATTGCCTTTCGTAAGTCTTTGCAAAAAGCACAAAAGAAATTAATCACCTATTTTCCTACTCCAACTCGTACTATTCCCCGTGATATAGTGGTAAAGTATAAAGCTACTAAGCTTTTCTTAAAGCCTACTCCGCCGGGCAGCGGCATCAAGGCCAGTCAAACTCTTAGTAGATTATTCAAGTTCCTAGAAATTAAAGATGTAAGTGTTAAAATAATTGGTTCTCGAAAAAATAAACTCAATGTTATTCGGGCCGCTTTTCTGGCTTTGGATGAATTAACTGGAAAAAAATATGAATACTAATAATTATTTAACTACCATCGTAAAGAAAAAAAAAATAGTTGGTCGTGGCATTGGTTCGGGCAGAGGAAAAACAAGTGGGCGCGGTCAAAAAGGACAAGGGTCTCGTAAGAGTGGCCACGTTCGTCCCGGTTTTGAGGGTGGGCAAACTCCGGTTTATCGGGCTTTTCCCAAACGAGGCGGAGGCTTTAAAAAAAAACTCCCTCATCGGGTAGTTAATTTGGAAAGATTAGAAAAGGATGAAAAGATAGCCAATGGACAGGTTCTAGACTTTACCCGAGAAAAATCGCCTGTAAAAATACTAGGCCAAGGAAATTTTACTAAAAATTTGACTATTAAAGCAGCAACCTTTTCTCAATCGGCTCAGAAAAAAATCACCCAAGCAGGTGGTAGTTTTCAAACAATAGAGAAAAAAAAATAATATGGCAAGTAATATCAAAAAAAAACGAGTTAGTCGTCAATATTACGCTTTTTTTTTTGCTTGCTTAGCTAGTTTACTTGGCTTACTGATTTACATTTTAGGAGCCAAAAAAATTCCTTTCCCGCACAACTGAATGCCCGGAATTAATAATGGCACGAAAGAAATGGAAGCAGTGAGGGCAACGAGGTTATTTTTTTCTGGTATTAGTGTTCATTTACAGGTCAACTTTGCTTTATGGATTTTTTTTATTCTGCTAAATCCGGACAAAATGGATCAGGTCAAACTTAAAAAGTGGAAGTTTTGAATCAGTCGAGTCCTAATTTTTTTGGGTTCGTTGATAATGTGTTTTATGAGTTACTGGGAGAATGTTAAAGGCAGTTTGGGTAATATCCTCCTCTTGGCTTTAATTGTTACAGTAATTAATTGCTGCTTATTAGAATTACTTATTCAATTAATGAATCAGTATGGGATATGTAATGCTTTTAATCTGATACTTTTTACTGAATTCCTTCCTTATGATTGAATTGCCAAAAACTGAAATAATTTCTGGCCAATGTTTTGCCTGATTCTAATTACTATTTTCTTTATTTGAATAGTTAATTTAAAATGGGAAGCGCCCGTGGAGACTAATACCCTTTATAGTCAGGATAACAAAGTGTTAAAAAAAAAAAAGTCAAAGTTGGGATTTCGCTTGAACATTAGTTTTATGCCTTTTATTCAATTGTCTCAATTTGTTGGCTGGATATACAATATCGTTCTAATGCGTAACGCCGGAGTGAATTGGCGTAGTCTTGACAGTATAAGAAAAGGATGGGGGGGAACAGTTGAAAAGAGAGCGACAAGTACGAATGATTTAAAAGCTAGCTTGAATAAAGAGAGTATCGACGGAGGAGCTTTTTGAGGCTCCTTTTTTTTGCTTAGCGACGCCAGGTATGTTTTTGATTGAGAAAACTTAAAATATTGGATTTTTAATAAAAAATGGTGAATTCTCGGTGCTCTTTTTTTTCTCCTCTCCTTACGCTTGTTAGTGGTGTGAGCACAAATGCGAAAAGCTGATCCCTGAAAAACTGGTGAAATGAGCAAGGACCTACGAAGCAGAGGTATCTACATAAATTATTTGGCTCCGGGTCATTCGACTCGTAACCTATTGCGAAAAGTAATCAATAAGATAATATTTTTTTGGTACTTCATTATCTTAGTTTTCAATATCATTTTTGATAATATATTTAAGTTTTGGTCTCCATTTTTATCCTTTTTTAATTGATTTGGTAGTGTTAATATCGGGGTTGACTTGGTCCGGCAAATAAGAACCAAGTATAAGTACATAAAAACTAATAGATAGCAGCAAACATTTTATATGGAAATAAAAAATAATTCACAAAAAGTCATTTTAGTATTGTTCCCACTTATTATTAATAAATTTGATTTTCGGTCGGGAGAAAAAATACATTTTTTTGATATGGGAAAGCTAAGGAAGAAAGAGATGAAAGAAAAAGATATTACCTCATTAGAAGAGGAAAAAATACTGAAATTGGCTGACATTAATTATAACCAAGAAGTTAAAGAATTTGTTCAGCGTAATCCCAGTTCTAAATCGATACTAGTTAATTATCCTCATAACGAGCAACAATTTACTTCATTAAGTGCCGAATTAGCCAAGGAGGGAAAGAAAATAAATAATATTATTCTCTTGAATATTTCTAACTATGAACTAATATTGAATATAAAAGATCAATATCTAATTTGTCCTCTTTGTGAGAAGATATACAAAAAAGAAGAGGTAGTAAAAGAAAATGAGGAATTTATTTGTCCACAAGATGGTGAGTATCAGTTTTCCCCGGCAGATATAAGTAAGTTCAATGAATTTATTATTGAGTATCATTTGAAAAATACCAAGTCAGTGCTGGAAAAGTTCCTCTCCGAAAATAAGCTTACCACCTCCTCTATTATTCAATTAACCGTCCAAAAAAAGGAAGAAATTTTCACTGGCGAAA